TGTACTGCATGTGACTGTCTGCATCTAGAACCCCCGGCACTGTCAGCAGTGAGCGGTCTTTATTACAGGACGGGGCGGAGACAAGACCAGTCACCGTGCACAAGATGAGAGCGGCTGTGAGCGGTCTTTATCACAGGACGGGGCGGAGACAAGACCAGTCACCCTGCACAAGGAGAGAGAGGATCAGTGACCGGTCTATTACAGGAAGTCTATTACAGGAAGTTATTGCTCTGATCTGGAATACACAAAGCTCACAGATTCAGGAAGAATTCAGGGCTCTTGTATTCAGACATTTGCTTACCCCAGAATCCAGCTTTAAACACGGCATTGATGTTCTGGTCACATTCCTATTGGCTCAGCCCTCCTCCATGACCGGAATACGGCCAGGCTGCCCAGCCAATCCTGATGACACACGAGCTGCCCGCGGAGTCTTATACGCACCTTGCACTGCAAACACGGGTCCTGGCTGTATTTGAACTCGGGGGCAGCAGGGAAATACTCCTTAAGCTTGTGCCAGGCTGCGTCGGTGATCAGGCGGCGCTCCCCCTCCGACGTGCACAGTCCTCCTGACACCAGAAATAGTGACAAATGACGACAAGCTGCCATTTCTGTACATTTTACACACACGCTGCGACAGGGGCGCGCCAACAACCTACCGTGCTGGCACACGAGGTCTTCATTGAAGGCCATTTCCGTGTCGTCTTCCCTTTTCTCCTCCGTGATTTCCTCTGCAGGATACAAGGAGGTTGTAATGAGATCTGCCCGGGCCGGGTCACTCAGCTCACCTTCATAGACAGCCATTTACCTTTCATGGACGTGCTTCCATTCACTGGCGGATCTCCCTGATCGTACTCGTCTTCTTGCTGACCCAGCTGCTCCGTCGCCAACTGCCTCCAGCGCCGCAGTGATCCCTTCCCAATCCAATAACCTTCATCACTGAGGACGAGGAGAGAGAGAGAGAGAGAGACACTTACACTGGGAGGTAGAGATCAGAACCTCGGCCTTCGCTTGTCATCTGCACCAGGTGAACGCTTCAGATTGTTCGATGGCCGGTCTGGGGTAGCGTGCCGTGTAAGACCCAATGGCTGCCAGCTATCTGGTGTGATCAGGACAGGAGGTCTGAGATCCCACCCACATCCCAGGACCGCTCCATGGACATCAGCTGACAAGATGTAAGGCCTTGGTTCTCAACTGGTGGGTGGTGACCCCGTTCTCCGCATGCCCCCCCCCCTTTCCTAGGTGAGGGGTTCCTCAGCCTCCCCCATTCGCAGCGCTGTCAGCTCAAAATATGCTGCCCGGTGCCGAGTGTCTGCTTGAGGTGGGATAGGCTGGGGCTGTGATGGAGCTCCATCCATACGTACAGCTCCCTTGTATGCCCTGTAGCGCTGCCGGACCGACGTCACATTCTGGCTCCCGGCACCTCTACAGGGCATACAAAAGGGAGCTGTACCAGCATTGCACATAGGGATGGAGCTCTGTCACAACACAGCTAGACCCACACCTGACTTTAGGATCAGCTCCAGTTCTGGTAAGGTTTGGAGACTGGATGGATCTTTTGAATGGCATCCCGAACGCACCCCCCAACCACAGTTCCATCGCACCTGGAACGCACGGTACCTCAATGCTGTGCGTGAGAGAGAGAGAGAGAGAGAGAATCAGACGTAACACTCGGCACCGTTCCACCACGCAGTCCTTACATAGAGAATCAGCTGCAAGGACACGACAAGGACAACGTGACCAACATGAGAATGAAGCTTCGCAGCCTTCTGAGCAACGTCAGGGCAGCACGTGTACACATCGTATACAGCGAATGTTGTTCGTAAAGGTCATTGAAAAAAACCAAAAACAAAAAAAAACAGAAAACTTGTATTGCAGCGAGATTCTTCGGGTTTATGAAGGATAATACAGAGCGCTGTATAGTACAAGAGATAAACCAACACCCACATACTATATCCGGCGGTCACCTTTGAGTCGGGGTCCTCCGCCATATCTCTGATAAAAGACCTCGGCGGAGTACTCGGAGATCCTCTTGACGTGGGAGATCTTGTCGGGGTGCAGCTTGCCGTGGGCACACTGGTATTTGGAGTTGTGAATGGGTTTTGCTGGCGTAGACTCATCCAGCCATTTCTGCAGCCATTCCAGAGGCACAAACTCGTACGTCTCATCTGCAGCAAAACAAAAAGCACAAGGACGGGACATGTAATGGCGGAGAACGCAGGACAGCGACATGCACTATAACAACGCATCACTCCCGTCTTCATACCGCCAGATCCCATCCCCCCCAGAATGTGACTACATCACTTCTCACCATCATCCACTACAAGCCGAGGACGGTTCCTCAAAGTGACATTTTCAACATCTCAAACTTTATTTACAACACCAGAAATTTACCACAATAAACTTTATTGACACAAAGACGACCAAAGAGGGGGAGCCCGGTATGTACAGTGACACTAAACTCCGGAGGTTTCTGCTCCACCCGGCCCCCCCCACCCCCCGGGGTGGACTACAATCCCAATACAAATTCATAAACTAAACATGAGATTGTAGTCTATCCCGGGGGGCGGAGCTTGGAGCGGTGACTACTTTACAACACACACAGGGACCACGGGGAACAGACGTAGCCCCCCTCCAGAAGGAAGGACGGTGTTGTTCAGAGTTCGGGGACTCGGAGGGAGTTTTAGGATTTACAAATATCCCGCCCAATAATATTCTATCCCTGACAACGTCATTATATTACAAACGGTGAAACTCACTAAACGTGAATCGGTTTAAGGTCATAGTGCAAGGGAAAGAGACGTGCCAGGAAGGGCCAGAGGGTGCAAGGGAAAGAGACGTGCCAGGAAGGGCCAGAGGGTGGAAGGGAAAGAGACGTGCCAGGAAGGGCCAGAGGGTGCAAGGGAAAGAGACGTGCCAGGAAGGGCCAGAGGGTGGAAGGGAAAGAGATGTGCCAGGAAGGGCAAGGGGTTGGAAGGGAAAGAGACGTGCCAGGAAGGGCCAGAGGGTGGAAGGGAAAGAGACGTGCCAGGAAGGGCCAGAGGGTGGAAGGGAAAGAGATGTGCCAGGAAGGGCAAGGGGTTGGAAGGGAAAGAGATGTGCCAGGAAGGGCAAGAGGGTGGAAGGGAAAGAGACGTGCCAGGAAGGGCCAGAGGGTGCAAGGGAAAGAGACGTGCCAGGAAGGGCCAGAGGGTGCAAGGGAAAGAGACGTGCCAGGAAGGGCCAGAGGGTGGAAGGGAAAGAGACGTGCCAGGAAGGGCAAGGGGTTGGAAGGGAAAGAGACGTGCCAGGAAGGGCAAGAGGGTGGAAGGGAAAGAGATGTGACAGGAAGGGCAAGGGGTTGGAAGGGAAAGAGACGTGCCAGGAAGGGCCAGAGGGTGGAAGGGAAAGAGACGTGCCAGGAAGGGCCAGAGGGTGGAAGGGAAAGAGACGTGCCAGGAAGGGCCAGAGGGTGGAAGGGCAGAGTTTGGAACACACTAGGGTTACATTTGCTATTGTGAGATTCATTGTAAACTTGTTTTTGTACATTTAGTACTTAAAGGGCAACTCCGGGAAGAACTGCCCGGCACCGAGGGAGCTGCTGGCTCACCAACATGAAGCAAAATGTGAAACAGTAAATTCTGTAAGATTTAAAAACCATCTTTATATACAGATTCACAATCCCCTCCCCCCCCATTGTACACAGACCCGTTCTTCACA